CAAAAAAAAATCAATTACATAAAATGATATAAAAAATATATAGCTAAAAGAATGAGGATGAAATAAAAATAAAAAATAAATGAGAGGGCAACCAATTTTTTTATTTTATTTAATGGTTAAATTGAAAAGATAAATAATTTTAACACAAGAAAAATAATCAAAAGAATGAGGACCAAATTGAAAAAAAATAGCACATCATAAACTTTGATTGAATGATAAAATTGAAAACCAAATGAACTTTAACATAAGGGTGGGGGGGAAAGAATAAGGACTGAATTGAAAAAATAATACATGATAAATTGTAATTAAAGGACTAGATTGAAAATAAACAAAACTTTTATAAAAGGAACAAAAAAATCAAAATCAAAAGAATAAAGATTAAAATTAAAACACTAAAATCAAATGAGACGAATATTTACTTTTTAGAAAAGAAGAGAGAAAATAAAAGGGGTAATGACTACTAGAAACAAATAAACTTATCGACCTTTGACAACTGCTCTATAAAAAGAGAGAATACGTAACAATATTTTTAAAAATATGACAAAGTGGTAGGTTTGGCCATTAAGAGACATTACACATACTATTTAAAAAGGACAAACACTTCTCATGCTTTAATTATTGAAAAGCAAGCGCCAACAATTTTTTTGAATTAAAAAGTTAATTAACCAAGTTAATGGATTTAGAATTAAGAAAGAAAACTTATGTGAAATGATGAAGGTACCTTAAACACATGACTTGATTTTTTTCAAATCTAATAGCAAAAATATATTTTTATTGGTTTTTTTTAATGAAATGATAGAGATATCCACATTCAACAATTCTATTTATTTTTTACTTAAATTTGTATGATTCATTAATGATTAATAAATCATTAAAAAAGATTGAATTACCCTTAAACCAAGACATTCAAATTATCTCAACCAAAGGAAAAATACATATTTTTACTATTAAAATGAATAATGTTACGTGTGAATATGTATACAATGATTTCCCCACGCATTTAAGTGTTTTATTAATAAAGAAAAACATGGAAGAAAACTATCATTACAATTTAAAAAAAACTAATTCTTGGTTTTACCATAATGCCATGTATTTTGGCTTCTCTTACAATTCACATTAAATTTCAATAATGTTTTTTTTTTCATTTTAATTATTAATTTTCTTTTTATTTCATCATCTCATATATTGTTTTTGGAGTTTTATGAGATTATGAATTTTTTCTTTGCATATTATCGAGCAATAATGATTTCGATGAGGTTTTAAAACTAGTTTGGAGATCAATTTAAATAGATATAGTTTTAATTTGTAGCATAAATATACTATTAAAATATTAAGAATCAAATAAAAAAAAAAACAAATGTGTTTTAAAAATATGATCTTGTCTAGCCTAAACAAAGAAGCTTTTTTCAACGAAAGTGGAATATATTCTCCATTGACTTCTTCTTCGATCTTTTTAGTTTTAGCATTTTTAGTTTTGATTTAAAAATTTATTTTGTTCATGTTTGGGTCCTTAAATTTGAAAGAGGATAGAGAAACTTGTTAGGAATGGAAGAGGATCTATAAAATGGCTAATGGGTCACATTTTAATTATAAAAATGTTATTTTTTGATATTAATAAGTTTTATTTAATGAGAAAAGTTTAATTGAAGTGTTTTTTTAACCATTTATCTTATTGTAAAAAACAAATCAGATATAATATTTTTTTTATTTAAATTGTTTTTTATTTTTTGAATGATAATAAATTGAGGTTAGAAATGAGCTTATTGATGTATTTAAAGTCTTCTTTTCTTCTGTGTGTTTTTAGATGAATTAAAGATTGAAAAATAGTTGATTTAGGTCTTAGGAGTTAAACTCCGACTTTTTAACCATCTCTGATAGTCGAAATTCAAAGGAAGGTTATCACATGCATGAACTACCTTATCTATTACGAACTAACAAATGGCCCACCCGTGCCCAAATACAATGGTTTTTTTTATAACATTTTTTTTCTTGGATTTTAATTGCAATTCAATTGAAATAAAATAATAAAAAATATATTTACAATGATATTCCAATAAATACAACACAATTTTGAATTCATTCTTGAATAAGATTATAATGATTTTTTTGTGATATTATAAAGCTCTTTCTTTATACAATCTTACTATTTTTTTTCGTGGGAGTTTAATAAAAATTCACTGTAATAGATATAGTTGAATTTACTTCTTAGACATTATTTCATTAAATATCATTTAACTTGGTATTTTTTAATAAGATTATAGCATCTGTTTTTGTAATGTTAGTGATTGTTTTGTCAAGTATTGTATGTGAAGCTCCAATACAAACTTATTTTTTTAAAAAAAGTTTATGGTCCTGGACCTTCAACGAAAATAAAGTTTAAATTATTATATTTTTTATGAATATTTTTTTGGTTTTTTTTTTATCCTAACGAGGAATGCTGCTTATAAATAAACATTTTTTCATCTGAATATTGAAAAATTACATGAATTAGAAAACAACATTTTGACAAAAAAAAGTACATATTTGCCCTTTATAATTTTTTTTATTGTCTTTTATATAAATATCATTTTTTTAGCATTATATAATTATTTAAAAAATAAATTTCAAATAGTTTCAAGCGACAAGGCGCGAGGTATATCACTCTTAGATTTGTAAAATACCTGCATAAAATTTATCGAGACATATTTTTTTGTTACTTAAAACTTTATTTAATGGTTTTGTTAAGATTTTTTTTAAACAATTACTCCTGTGAAAAAAATCTAAAAAAAGAAGCATATTAACAAGACAAAAGAGTTTTAATTAAAGAGATACCTTTCTTTTTCTTCTTTAAAATTTTTCAATATCTTTTTAATGTTTATTCTAATTGCTTTCAATTTTTATTAAATAAACAACATATATCAAAAACTATATTTCTTTGTTAAAAAAACGTAATACTATGAAAAGCATGAATTATATCGGAAAATTACTTTGTCTCAATATAATTTAGGTTATTATTTTCCTACAATTTTTTTATTTCTATATAATTAAATAAAATAATTTTGAAAAGTCTCCCTCGATGTGATAACATATATCTTAATTTTGATGTCTCTCAACTTTTTAACTTGGTATTTAGTTAGTATCAACAACTATTTTTAACATTTATTAGTTTATGATTTTCTATTTGTTTTATTAAATGCATGATCAACCTTCCATTTAATAATTAAACGTTTTTATGATGGTAAAAAAAATGCTTAGCAATGCCTACATATTATTTTTTGCATTAGAAAAAAGTAATCTAACCTGCACGAGCGCCATGAGATTGACTAGTTTATGTTTAAAAGGATTAATCAAAATATATTGAAGATGAATTGTATAATGTGATTAATTTGAGTTTTTGGTTTGTAATCATTTTGAGTCAATCTTCATAAATTTATTTATCTAAATAGAATATATCAGAATTGAAGTATTTGGTGGTAGCTTTCTTTCTTTTTGAGATTTTTAGCAACTTTTGATCTCTTTTCTTGAGATGTGAAACCTAAAATAAATGAAGTTTGAGACTAAAATGAAAAATAAAAAATAAATGGGTCAAGTGTAAGAAAAACTTAAAATTATGGGACTAAGGTGTAGATTTACATTCCCAATGAAAGATAAATATGAAAAAATGGCTGCTAATTGGTGTTAGTGTCAAATTTAATCTCTATTTTTTGCAATAATTCTAAACTTTTCCATGCAAAATTGACATGTTATGAAATCCCAAAATAATTTTTGACACCTCGAGCAAGTGTAAAACCAAAATCTAAAGAGAATGAAAAAAATATAGATCAACAGAAAAAAAGAGGAACTTTCAAGGGCCAAATTGAAAGAATTTATAGCTTAAAGATCAAAAAAATAAATTGGAGGGACCAAGAGGGAATCCAAGCAGTGTTGCAGTGTTTTATGAAGAACAAAGTGTGAGAGGATGGACACTGATGATCCTTGTCCTTTTAATTTTGTTATGAATTGGAGGGACCAAGAAGGAATCCAAGCAGTGCTGCAGTGTTTTATGAAGAACAAAGTGTAAGAGGATGGACAATGATGATCCTTGTCCTTTTAATTTTGTTATTCCACAACAATTATAAACTTTTCCATGTGAAATTAACATGTCATGAAATCATGAAATAAATTATGTTACCTGGGGCACTTGCAAGAACAAAATGGAGAATGGAAAAATCTAGGTAATTGAAAAAATCAGCAGCTTAAAGATTAAAAAAACTGAATAAATAAAAAAGTAATTCATCATTTAATGGGAGGTTTTTGCTGAATTTTTCCCCTTAAATTTTGAGTTGATAATTAATTAATCTTAATATTTTTTTATCACATAATAAAATAAAAAAATTAATTTAATTTTATAATACAAGTCATGAGATTAACAAACTAATTAAATATTAATTAAAAAGTTGGATAAATTTAAATTATTATATTGAATTTAATAATAATATATATTTTTTGGTTTTTCAAGTTTAAATTATTGTATTGAATTTAATAATAATATATATTTTTTAATGATACAAATATATTTTCTTATATTTTAAAAAAATTGTGGACGACTCTTAACGAAAACGTGTGGGATCAACTTTTAATAACTAATTGTGCTGTGCGGACGTTCGTGCGTGTCACTTGTTTTGTAAAATCATGTTTTAACTTTTAATAACTAATTGTGCCGTGCGGACGTGCGTGTGTGTCACTTGTTTTGTAAAATCATGTTTTATATAACTTTAAAAAATAAATTTATTGGTGTTTTTTTTAAATAAGATTATGGGTTTATTTGAGAGGATTTTTTTAAAAAATATTTTTTATTTAAAAATATTGTAAAATAATATATTTTTTAAAAATTTATTTTTAATATCAATAAAAATATATATAAAAGATTTAATTTAAAATTATTTTTTTTCGAAATTTTTTAAAAATAAAATTGGAACAGAATGCTAAACTGGCCTGCATTAAAAATGCATCGTCGGATGCCGGAATCCACTTCAACTTCCCCGCCCACAGCACACCCCCCAACCTCCCCCCACACACAAAAAAAAAAAGAGTAAAGAAAAAAGATATCTCTTTCTCAAGATGCAGAGATCACCGAGCAGTTCGATAGTGACTGAAGAGTTGTTCAACAACACAAACACTGACAAAGACCACCAAGAACTCCCCACCTATGATCCAGCTTCTCACGTTGCAAAGAAGGAAAGGTCCCGTCTCAGATCTGCTGAGAATGCAATCCATGCCATCCCTCTTGTTCTTGCTATCTGTGCCATCGTTCTCTGGTTCTTCTCCACCCCCCTAGGTTCTCAAAACCTCTCTTCTTCCTGTTTATTTTTTGTTCCTTCGTTTCTCTGAACCGATACGGTTAATGATCGATTGCTTTATTCACTGTTTTATTCTTCAAGCAATCTAAATATTTTCATCCAATCCCATGTACTGTGATGGTATCTTGTTAACTGACCAATTGGTTTAAAGTTTACTGTTAGACTGAGAATGGTATCTCTAACTATAAAATGAAGAGTTAATTTGTAAGAATCTTTTCTTCTTAGATATGGAAACTTCCTGTACAATCTTAAGAATTTGTGGGCAGAATATTATTGTTTGAGTTCATATGATCAACTCTTATACATGCCTCATCTTTTCTTGCTTGATGAGATTGTATGGTATTGAACAATATCTTGTTACAAAAGAATTTCTTAATGCTTGCATCACGGATTTTTGTTGGCGGCCGTTTTCGTCCCTTTTGTTTTGTTAGCGAACCCTGTATCTCCTAATCTCTTATCACACTGAATAATTACGTAATTGCAACTCTTTCAGAATCCTATGTACTGTGCAGTATAGAGTTTTCTCTTATCCGAGGATGTGCAGGGACAGTAAATTTTTCCACTGATTTGCGTTCCACAAGATGATCTTAGTTAGAGATAGATAGCAAATTTTTAAAGGTCTGCATACAAATCACATAGCGATAAAAGTATGCATGTATCATGCAATTCCTTTTTAATCAAATCATTTTCTGATCATGCTGCTAATTGTGTTTTGGCAGAGTCAAGGACTTGAGAATCAATCACATGCTCAATGAAATTAAGTTCATGGGGCAGGTTGGTGCAGAATTTGAGCTCAAGGATTTCAATCCAATCCTATTTACCTCTCATCTAGCCAAAAGGCGAATGCATTTCTTGAGCAGAAGCATTATACTGAGCTCTTTTAACATTAACACCAGTTTGTGAGTGAAATGCAAAAACAACTCAATTTTTTTCATCGCATCTTTACATATGCCTGTATTAATCTTATGGTACACAGTTTTCTTTACATGCAACTCAATGCATACAATGTTTTTGGTTTGATGGTGCATTTGGTCTCGCTACTGCGTTTCATATCTCTAATTGCCCCTAATCAAAAACCTAAACCAGCCTTCCAAATCGAGATTCCTGTAGGATGTAACCATCCAGAATCATTACAGGCCAGGACAATCATCTCAAATACTATCCACGTTTGCTCTAACCAAAATCTTGTCAATGTGGCCTTTTCTTTGGGATGGTAGGATAGCACCAAATGCCAAATACTAAAGTATGGACTATTTAGAGAAAGTAGACTTTCTAACAAGCAAAGCACCATTGGGAAAATATGCTGTGTGCTAGCTTACACTCTTCAATTCCCTCTTTTGGGTTCGATTTTCTTAAGCCTCACAGTTATCGTAAATGCTGAAGTGGATTCCAAATTTCTCTTGATTTATGTGCAAGTTTGGTCGTTGGTAATAAGTTGAGCAATTGGATTTAATGTACTTGGGGCAGTGAAGAACTTGCTTTGGTGGGTTTCTCCGCCTTATGAAAGCTGACTTCATAGTAGAGCTAATTGCTGCTGCACATAAGGAGAAAGAGAAAAACCATAATATTTCACTTTTTGCAATTTATAATGATTCAGCATGTTCCTTCTCGTTCTTTTTGTCGCCATCTTTTCCTGTTCTGTGTTCTTTTCTTGACAGGTTTAGAAATTGGTATCTCAAAATTCATAATTTTCTTTGTTCATTCTATCTCATTATATCCTGATGATGTGCTTTCGATTAGGCAAAACTATTTTTGCTGCCTTTATCTTCTGTAGTGAGAGATCAAGATAACTGATTCATTTAACCTAAAGATCTACTGGATATGATTTAAGTAAATAGTGACAGTGACAGTGAAAGGGAGAAAGTACTTGTTAATGAAAAAAACTGATGGTGGATTAAGATACCTAGCTCATTCATTCTAACCTATAAAACTATACGATACGATCATGTAAATATATGTGAAAGTAAGAAGTTAATTGTTAATTGATATTGTGTTTGTTATACCTCATTTTGATAAACATACCTCTCTTTCTGATTTCGATCCATAATCGCATGATGCTTTGATAATCGTTTTGTTTGTTAGCTTCGTAATATTAGTTGTTAAATAAAATGTGTTATGTACGAAAATTTATTGACTTGCAAATATTGTGTAGCGCCTCAAATAGATGGATACCTAGCATAAGGAGTGCACATCAGAACATCTATTGTATCAAGGTTGAGATTAAAAACAAAAAAAAAAAAAACTAAAAGGTTAGAGGGTATCAATCTCATAATTCAGGAGGGTTAATGGTGCATTTGGTTTGCCTAATTTCAATCTTTTCTTAGTGTGGTCCTCTTATAAAAGGGAAAATATTATCATGGGAGTGTAAAATATCTTAGGGTAGAAGGACCAAATGCTAGAAAATATATTCTATAGGGCATAATATCAAATTTTGAAAATCTTGGAGTGGCCACCCCCTGAGGATCAGATACTATGAAGGCTAACCTTAATGTCAGGAAGAGGTGAATGATCAATCGTGCATCAATTGTGCTTGCTGCTCCCACTTGCAGCTATATGTTTCTTCAAGCCTGGCTTTGGATGGAAACTCGGAGATCATTTTGCAAAGACGACCGAAAACAACCTAACGGGACCCTCCCAAATGTCTGAATGATCCTAATGTGACTAGTTTCTCTTTAGAGGGGTGATTGAACATTTTATTTGTGTTATTTGTTTCATTGCCCCCTTTTCTACCAAACACTTTCTTCACTTGCTTATTCCTATTCGAAGCATGTCCTTGAAGCTGCGAGGAGCTGCTTCTTGCAACGAGGGAGCTAGACATAAGATTGGAAACGTAACTATTGGAATTAAATGCTGTAAACGTTACGAACTTGACCATCATCGGTAAAATGAAATGTACAAGGCTATCTAACTCTAATAGGAATAATTCAACTAATTAAGTTTTAAATTTGTTTTTAGAAATTACTAATTTGAGTTTTATAAATCACAGAATTATTATAAGCTTATTTAATCGTTAATTTTAAAACCTATAAAATTAATCAAAATATATATTAGTTGAACTAAATATTTACATTAATAATTTTTAAAAAAATATAAAAGGGTACCTGTGCAATGAATTACAATGGAGAATGTGTTTTAAAAGATAGAAAAAGGTTTGGCTGGCATCTGTGATGGTAAATCCTCGTTTTTCTTCCTAGTGTCATTCTTGCTTTGGGACTTTCAGAAGTTTGTCCGCAGTAAAGGCTCGCAATCGAAATTTGTGTTCCAAATTTGGACCGAGCCTATCTAGCTTTGCTATGATTATATTGTTCCCAATAGAACCGGCAACAGGTTTTCCCACTGCAGAAGCGATCCTACAAGATCGACGCGAACGATTTATGGAAAGACACGAGGCCATCTTTCGATTCCATAGGACCTCAAAGCATCCTCCAAGCTTTCGTGCTAGAACTACTGCATCCGCAGAAGCGATCCTACAAGATCGACGCGTACGATTTATGGAAAGACACGAGGCCATCTTTCGATTCCATAGGACCTCAAAGCATCCTCCAAGCTTTCGTGCTAGAACTACTGCATCCTCTAGTGCACAAGAAGCACCTTGCCCCAGGTTGGGAGTCATTGGGTCCCACGCATCTCCAACTAACACTGCCGTTCCAGTTGACGGGGGAGGGCTTATGGCTGGCCACGGCCAGCGACCCACCGGAGGAGGTTTGCTGATTGTTTCGCCTGGTGTTAGATCTCTATTAAATTCAGTAGCTCAGATGGCCACTTCTTGACTAGTGCTCTAGCCTGCTTCTTCAACACAGACGGATTGCTGGTCTTTGGACCTGTAGTGAAAATCATTGAAAATGCCAAATCATACACGAAATGAAGCAACCTTTCATGAATATGAATTTTGCAATTCTTGAAGTGATACATAGGACAAGAAACCCCATGGACGCATCATCTAAATGACATCAGGGAAGAGTTAAGAGAAAAAATAACCTGATGGCAGAATGAACTTTGATGGCGCTAACCAGAAGTGTCTATTTTCTTAGACTAAATCATGTTTCCATCTTAACTTGCCATCTTAGATGAATTCGGCACCGTTTGTTTGTGTAGCCCAGCTGTATTTTTCATTTTTTTTAAATTTTTTTCTATTATTTTTTATATGCTAATATATAAAAAAAACTAAAAAAAAAAAAACGAACTACTTTAAGATAATACTAAATTGATTAACCGTTGGACGTAGCCTTGTCCCGTCCACAGGCCCAAGAAGCATTTAGCCATTCTCTCTTCTCTGAAGAGAAACGAACTGCTTCTCATGGAAGCTCACTGGCAAGAGTCTCTATAAGGACACGAACTTCTTGGCCGTGAGATTATATCACAAATAAGTTACGAAAAAACAAAAAAGAACACTTCCTTTCTTAGTCTAAAAGAAAAGGAAAAATCCATTAAATATTGGCCGTGAGATCTTGTGGGTTTTTTTAATATTAACAAATCAAAACCATTAAAAAACACTAGAAAAAATTAATTTAATATTTTTTGAAGTTAAATGTATTTTTAAATTACATCCAAATATAATTTTAAACACACAAAAAAAAAAACAGTGATTATATAGTCTCGAAATTCAGGCCAGGATTGTTACATCAAAAGTTGATTTTGGGCATATTTTTCTTTTTTCGGATAATACTATGTGCTAATTATGTAGCCATAGTTAAAATAGGGGTAAAGTATCATTGGGCTGTCAGCGTTAAGCCAAGTCTGTTTCTAATTCTTATATTATACATTACGCGGTTTAAGCATCATGCAATAAAACTAAAACTGAATAGTAAAACATTGTTCTACTAGTTGACTATTCACGTTTACACTTTTTTGCATTTTAGTTTCTGTAATTTGTTGAATTTACAACTTGATCATAAAAATTTATTTTTTTATATTTTAATCCTGCAAGTTAGAGAGGAGACACGGTCTTTTTTTTACTTGATTATAAAACTTTGTTTCTTTTATATTTCAATCCCTTCAAGTTAGAGAGGAGACATAGTTTTTTTTTAGTTCCTGTAATTTGATGAATTTATAACTTGATCATAAAATTTTATGTTTTTCATGTTTCAATCCTTATAAGTTAAAGAAAAGAGAGATTCATAAAAAATGGAGAAGAGAGAAATTTTGGCTAGTCATATCTTTGTGTGTATGAATTACTATTGAGGAGGGGGTTCGACGGAGGTGGTTTGAGTTGTAATCATATTAGAAAAAGTAGATTTGTGCTTGCAAAGCTTTTTCAATATAATGTTGAGTTTTTAGGGCCCTTAGATAATGCTTTTAGGGTTAAAGAGGTTATTGAAGTATCTATGATGTTTTTCTTTTGATATTTTTAATAAAAATAAATTAAAATATAATTTTTAAGGATTTATGTAACTCAAACCTAGTTTTTTGACCAATTGTTTTTAAAAAAACTTAGGTACCTTGTTTTTTTTTTTTTAAAGAAAAGTGCATAGATATTTCTCAGAATTATAATTATTAATAAGTCATAATTATAAATAAGTTAGGAGCATGAGCCTCGCCTATCAAGTTGAGAAGCACTTGGCATTATAAGCTCAATACTATATTTGTTTTTCAGAATTTACTTTTCAAAAAATTATTTTTAATTATTTTTATATTTGTTTATTATTAGAAAAGTTGATTAATAGAAGATACTTTTCATTTAAAGAAAAATTTGACTTGTTTTTCAAGAAAATATTTTTCTAGAAAATTTGGACGGAAAACACTTTCCATAAATTATAAAAAATTTAGAAATATCATATTATTTGTTGATTATATCAAATTTTATCCTCAAACTTTTAATTGCTATATATATTTTGTTTTGAATATTTATTTTT